CTCCCCTGACACTGGGGCACCCATCTCACGGGACCGTCGCGAGAGCTGAGGGTCAGAACGCCTAGGAGGAGTCTGGCCACACTGCCTGACACAGAGGGAGCACTCCACGCGTGTGCGCTGGGGTTATTCTCCCGCGAGCTTCACGGTGTGAAACAAAAGAGAAAAAGAGCCCACTCCCGGATGGGGACGGTGTGCACCTGTGCGTGATGAATTCTAGAGGCTACTTTGAGCCCGAGGAGACCCTGCAAACAGGCCTGGCAGACTGCAGACGGCCAGGGTAATAACGACACCCCTAATGTCTCCCAGGGTGCCTCGTGCAGTAGGTAATCCAAAAATCTCAGGGTTGTGAACGCCTCTCCTACAAAAGCAGGATGTATACAGGGAGACAAAAGATAACGAGCTTTCCGGGTTTCCAGAACGGCAGACCAGCACCGAGTGGCAACCACCATGGGCAATGCCTCCCGGATTTCCGTCTTGACAGGTCCGATTGTTCACGGACGCTTACTAAAGGTCACTGTCATATCATTGGCCATTTTCACCCTCTGGGAGCTTATAGTCAAAATAATTTCGAACAGAAGACCTATTTGCATCCTTCAAAAAAATGCAGTCCATCAGTCAAGAGCACTTAATAAGCGGCCTCTGTCTGTCACACGTTTCTACCAAGTGTCTCAAGATGTTACGCGGGCGGAGAGAATCTGCTTCCGCGTTCACAACAAAGGAGGATCAGCCAGAGAGGGAGACCATAAGGGGATCGCGGCGTGACAAATATTGTTTGGTAAACACACATAAAACCAGGCACTGAATCCTGTTTTGCCAGAATTCAGTGCGGAAAAATTTCCACCGTTATTTTTTTTATGCTGTAACTGACCTATGGATCAGTTTGAGGGGACCGCAATAACAATTTTATTAAAAATTACTGCAATTTGGGGCGCCTGGGTGGCTCAGTCGGTTAAGCGTCCGACTTCAGCCAGGTCACGATCTCGCGGTCCGGGAGTTCGAGCCCCGCGTCGGGCTCTGGGCTGATAGCTCAGAGCCTGGAGCCTGTTTCCGATTCTGTGTCTCCCTCTCTCTCTGCCCCTCCCCCGTTCATGCTCTGTCTCTCTCTGTCCCAAAAATAAATAAACGTTGAAAAAAAAAAATTAAAAAAAAAAAAATAAAACCAGGCACTGAATCCTGTTTTGTCAGAATTCAGTGCGGAAAAATTTCCACCGTTATTTTTTTTATGCTGTAACTGACCTATGGATCAGTTTGAGGGGACCGCGATAACAATTTTATTAAAAATTACTGCAATTTTAGGAGAGTAGAGTATTAACAACCAAATGTATTCTGAATGCTCTGGAAGCACAGTGTGTTTTATTTCCTGGCTTCACAGGAGAAGCGTGTTTGTTAATAAAAAAATTAATTGAACTGCGTATCAGCCTAGCATCATGCCCACATAATTGAACTGATGAATTATAATCTATGTTTCTGACATTTCTTGCAAAGAAAGAAAAGTATCATGGGAATAATATCTTTGGAAGAATTGTGAAGAAAATAAATGCATATGAAAGACACGGGGAACGTTTCGCAGGTGGGGAAAGAAAGTTTCTCAGTGATAACCATCAGTCAGGCAAGAAGGGGAGTGATGAATGTAAAACCAGGAGGACAGGAATTCATTACTGCCCCCGCCAAAACGTCGGATAACATAAAGACGGAATCTATGACCAATATGTAACGTGACAGAAATCAAAACCAACACGAGAAAAATGACCTACATCTTTCTTCCTAGCCTCGGACTCTGATTTCACTGATATGCCACCAGGGAATTAGGGAAAAGAAGGTTTTTGTTTTGTTCTGTTTTCTTGGTGAGTAGCCTAGAGTCTTCAGAATTCTTGTATAACCTTGATAGCAGCACAGGAAAAATCCCCTCGGCAGCTAATGAACACTATTTGTTCTCTTAACGATTCTGATTCACACTGAGTCCAATGTGACTGTGCCGATTCCGGTTTTCTACTAAAGGTAAAAAGATAAAATGACTTTTAGGCCATTGGCATCATTCTATACCTTTCAGTGGATTAGACCTGACATATTTACAGCCCGAGGCGTTCTTTTTGTTTTCAAATGAGTTATATAGCTTTCCTTTTCAGTCTTCCCTCCTCTTTTTCTTGCTTCCTTGCTTCTCTCCTTTCTCCTTAAATATACACCCCTATAAAGCACTGAGCGTATCATCTAGACTTTGGCCATCACCACTGCTGAGGCAAAGCTGAAGTTATACATCAACAAAGCACCCACCATCATGTGGCGGGGGGGGGGGGGGGTCACAAGTTCCCAGGCCTTGTCACCCTTGACACACTGACAAGGAAGTCCTGCTGTGATGTGTTTAAGGGACAGTCGGCCCCTGCTTGAGCAAGAGCAGAAACCCAGGCCTTCTGTCCAGAGAGCTAAGTTCGGTCCCTTACCCTAATTGGAAGGGCGTCCTGATTTTTTTAACGCGGAGACTGTGTGCCTACTTGGGAGATGCAGTGAAAAGAGGTATGCTTTCAAATCCCCTCCGTCTCATGTGGCTCCCCCAAATCGTCTCAAGAGAGAGTGCGAGAGAAGTGGGCAGATCTCAGCATAGTAATAGCAAACAACAAATTAACAACTATGTACTTTAATCTTCAGCATTCATAATTCATAATTGCACAGAGTGTCACGGATCACTTAAATAATACATGTCCGTTAATCTAATGAAGAAACCAGTAAAGCAGAACGTTTGGGACGGTCACTTGAGCATGTAAAAACTGTCTGTGAGTGACACTTAACACACAAAGAGCAGAAACAGAACAGGTCTTTGAGGGGTAGTTATTTAAAATCCTTACCAACAGGCAAAGCACCATGGAGAAACACACATAAATATATTCAACCTGCCAGACGCCTCAGCGAAACGCGCAGCGATTCTAATAGGTTTGGCTGTAGCGACTTTCCACATATATACAGTAGGTTCTAAAACACTAGGGGGGTTTGGTGATTGGAATGCAGTGTAGGAACAAAGGGGGACTATCGTCACTTTCAGAACAGAATTGAGTGGGGAAATCTAAACTCCCGACCAGTCAACTTTAAAATGGCATAAACAGAACTTTGTTACAGAGAGAGATGGGGTTTTTTTTTTTTTTCTTCCCTTGAAAATGTATATGTGTCATAAGTGGCTGAAAATCTTGTCCATGCTAGGGGAAAGTTGAGGGCGGAAAATTGGTATTTTTAAAAAAATCTATGCTGTAAAGAAAATAAAAAGCCAGAGCATTCTGGCATTAGCGAAAGGCTGAACTAAGTTCTCAGGCAATAAATTTACGGGGAAACATGACAGGCTCCTCATTAAAGCTATGTGTACGTTGGCTGAATTTTATGCAAGATTCTTGAATCTTGTGGAAAATTGGGTACGGCCTGACATCTGAACAATGTCCCTGGTTTGTTTGATTTCTAAAGCATCGGAATATGTTGCACTTTGGAAATCAAGTAGAGAAGAATAAACACACTAAAACAGAACTGGGCTGAATCTTAAAGTTATTTTTCCATATGTCTCTATGAGATATTTATTACCTTTGTTTCTCTTACAAACTACGCACCCCCCCCCCATGCTAGAAATACTGCGGTGCCTTCTCTTTTTCCAGTTGGTTTTTTTTTTTTTTTTTTTTTGGTGGCGAGAAAATAGTCCCGTTAAGGCAAATCTTACCCAGCAGCGGTAACCACCTAAGGATAGGCAATTTTCAGTTGGCTTTTCAGAAGCTGGTTGCCATGACAAAGAGGACAATTTATTCCTTGGTCCCTTATCACAGCTACAGATCACAGACCATAAAAATTAACAAGGTTCTTTCCCTTTTCCTGATGATTTCGGAGTTCCTCATCCTTACCTGAGGTCTTTTGTTCCCCCAATTAAATGGAATGAATGTCAGTCATCTAGCAATTCAATTAATGCTGATTCAAAATTCTGGCCCAAACCAGAATCTATAATCACAACCTCCTAATCACAGCTCAGTCGTGAGAATGAAAAGTAAGCAGGAAATTGCACTAATTACTCAATTAGACTAATACTGTATTTTTAAGCCAGGGCTTAAAGGGGCTGTCGGCTCTGACAAAGGACCTCGGAGTCGTCCTCACCATGTGTGCCTGCAGTGGCCTGATTGAGGCTGATGTTTTCAAGTGGCCATAATTTCTATCCATCTAAGACGGATGGACCTGAGCTGGGGAATGGAAATTTACAACCGATAAACCAACCATGAATGAGGGGCAGGTCGGGGAGGGCAGGGGGGCTTCACCGGCTCTTAACACAGGCCCGTATAACGGACAGGGCTCTTCTGGAGGAAGCCGGTGGCCCATGTGAAGGTGGCTGAGCACACGTCAGCACGGTGCTGGTTCCAGGAAAACATCTGGTGGGGAGCAGCACTCAGGAAGTGTGAGAGTGGCTCTAGCAAACCTCAAGGTGCCAGCCTCCAAACTCACCACGGAGCCTGCGGCGTGTGCCGGGCAGAGAGCTCCTCAGCCAGTGGGCCCGCCCCTGGGGGTGGCTGAAAGCTGAGAATCATCCACCCCCAGGGACAGCTTCTGGGGCTGCAAAGCCCACCTGGACAAGCTCCACGAAGCCAAGAACAGCGAGTGAAAAAGAACTGGCTGGGAAGAACGTACCAGATGTGCCCGAAGAACTTACAAAACAATGCAGGATATGAACCAATATAAGCTGGACCTAAGTAGAAAGAAAGAAAAAAAAAAGCCCAAAAAATTAGACTCTTTTTTCTTACTCAGGTTCAGAAACTTAAATATTCTGTAAACAATAGGGAAGACACTAGAGCCTGCCATGCCTCTGGTTTTTGTAACACTCCCCCCGAGTTGGATGCAGGAAGGGAGGCGGACACAGAGGAAGGAGGGCCCATCGCACATGGCGTCGTCTTTCCTCTGCAGCAGTTGCTGAAAATGACCAACTTGGGAACTGCTCAGGGGTTCCGAAAGGAGACAAAGTATTTATTTGACTAAGATAGGCAAAGTCTTTACTTCCAGGGTTTGCCTTGCAGGTGGCCACTGCTGAGCGAGCGGGGATTCGGGGGGCCACCAGGGCCCCTGGCGGGCGGGTTCTGACCGCTGCGGGTGCCTGGAACCTTGGAGTCTCTTCCGGAGGCATTAGCTTGGCTCAGCCGGCCTGCAGGAGGCAAGAAAGCAGGGAGCAGGGCTGCAAGAATGACGCCAGGGACGATCTGCCAAGTACACTTTTAAGCTAATGAAGTCGTACGGTATAACCACTTGCAAGCTAATGAAGCCCTATTCAGCATCTACTCTAGGCTAAACCCTACTCTTCATCCTCGGAGGTAGGGAAGGGGCAGGGACGAAAGGAAGCCCAGCGAGCTTCCCCCCCCACCCCCCTTCCTTTCCGTTATCCCAACCAACTTAGTCTGGCCTTCATTTCTTCTTGGTAGAGATGGGTACAGGAGTGATTAGGGGAAAGACAAGAGAAAGTATCGTGCTCAAGGGAAGGTTGGACGTGCTTTCAAGGTGCCCAGAAGCTGCAGAGGGAAACAAAACCTGCGGGAGAGGAAATCTAAGTGCCTCAGCTTAGCCTCTCAACTCAGCCTGAAATACATACGTTATCTGAATGATAAGTCCTTTCTCTCTATTGGCAATGCCTAATTCTCCCCACAACCTGGGATCACCTCCCCTTGCCCCCGCCCCTCCCCGCACGGCACCCGCACACTCCCCATGCCCTGCAAATAACGTAAGAATCTGAATATAAGAGATCAAGCTTTTCATATGACGATATTCCAAGCCGCAAACCTCAAAACGTTCTACCCAAAACGTTCTCTACGCAAAACGTTATCTCTACAGGTCAAAATATCTTACTAGGATGGTCCGTAGGACCCTGCTCCTCTTCCAGGTGATATTCTATCTTTTTCAAGTCTTCTGGGGTAAATCTCCATTTATTCTCAGCTGGTGGAGGCGGCACCTTGGGGCTGGATCGTTTCCGGGCAGAGCCAGAAGGAAGGGGCTGCTGGCAAGATGCTGGCAGGGAACCCGTAATCAGTCCTTCTGGGAATTTCTGAGCTAAGACTTTTAGACCTAGGTGTGGAAGAGCATCAGAAAAAGCGGCATTAACACGGTGAGGCTACGGTGAAACCTGGAAAGCTGGAAAGAAGCCTGCGTGTCTCCTGGTCTTTGGTCTGCTGGCCCAAGCCAACACAAGGACGTGAAATCTTAACTGCTTCGCCATTAAGTAAATTACACGAGAAACATGGTGGTTAGGTGGGATTCTGTGAATTCCACCAGAAATCCTTCTGCTCCAGTCTTCAGCCTTAAGGCTTGCTTACAGAGCCCTAAAGCAACAGCATTATTTCTGGAATTAAAAACATGTGCCGATGGAGCTAACGGAAGTTTCACATAACTCCTGACCCCTTGCAGCCAGCACGGTTGTCTCTCTTTCCAGAATTCTTAATTCTGCGCGTGGAGAGGCAAAGGGTGACGGGGGAGGGGTTGAAGGACTCTGAGTCCAACTGTCTTTTCAGTCCTAAGCAGAATACAGCCCACTCACCTCCGGAAAGCATGAAGAGGTTCTCAAATCCCCGCTCACACATGGTGGTGGCCGCCTGGCTGGCCAGCCTCTCATCGTCGTCGTACAGAATGATGATCTTGCCGTGAGCATTTTTCTAAGAGTCACATGAGTTAAGGTCCCCCCCACACTGAGCTCAGGCTCCTAGACTCTAAAGAAACCCCCAGGGAACAAAGAACCGTCAAGGCTCCCCTTTCTGAGTTCAGAGAACGTCGGACAACCCCATCACCCCAGCAGTTACTGGATTTTTTCCTCTCGTGGAAACCACACAGGCTGGTAGTCTTATCTTTTAGGAACTAGTATTACCACGGTCCAAGACAAAACTAGCTCCCTGCTTGATGCCTTTTGATTCTTGTAGCTTCACAACCTTGAAAAGTTAAGTATTAACAATCTCCATTCCACAGGTTAGGAAATAGAAAAAAACCTGTGTGCCCCACGTGTCTACCGTGGCCTTATTTATAATAGTAAAAAAAAAAAAAGGGAACCACCCGAAAGCCCACTAGAGAGGAACAGTTTAGTAAATCATAGTAGAGTATATAAGATGAGATAATGTAGTGCAACCAAAACGGAGTTTATAAAGAGCATGGGGAAATACACTGTACTACGGCACGAGGAAGAGTCAAAATTCTAAATTATATATACAGTATGATTTCTACTCTGGTTTTCAAAAGAATACATAGAGGACAATCTGAAATAAAGTATGCAAAAAACATAATCGGAGTTGTTCAGTGGTGATTATCAGTCTTCCTTTTTAGATCTTCCCGAATTGAAATTATTTTCTATTTGTGTAATTTTTGTAGGCAAAAAAAAAAAAAAAAAAAAGTAAAATTTGAAGAAGGGAAAAATTTAAAACAGAGGGAAAAAAATTTCCTTAAGTTTCACTTGGGAAAGCTTTCTGGGGGAAAAAAACAAAAGTCTTAGGACTAACTCTCAATAGGTCACAGCCTTTAACCTAATGTGTTGTGGCCCACTGCAGGATGGCTTAGAAACATCTGCCAGGATGGTGAGGATACTCAGCAAGAGCTAAGAACCCAAATTCTAAAATATGCTAAGTAAGCTAATTAATATCAAAGGTCCTTCACAGAGGTTTTTTTCCCTAGGAGCATGATTCATGGCAAGTTCAACTCGTACAGTCCTCAAACCACCCAACTCCATAAAATGCAACAAAGGATACGTATTCAAGAATGTCATTTGAATAAGGGTTCATTGTCCTAGACAGAGTTGCGATGGGGTAACTGTAAGCTGCAGAGAGAAGAAAAAGCTTAGGACGTTTGTTGCTTTCTGTACAATTTTGCCCCAAATTCCTGCCTGGTTTAAACTCTAAGAGTTCAGGGGCGCCTGGGTGGCTCAGTTAGTTAAGCGTCTGACTTCGGCTCAGGTCGTGATCTCGCAGTTCGTGGGTTCGAGCCCCGCGTCGGGCTCTGTGCTGCCAGCTCAGAGCCTGGAGCCTGCTTCGGATTCTGTGTCTCCCCCGTCTCTCTGCCCCTCCCCTGCTCACGCTCTATCTCTGTCTCTTTCTCAAAAATAAAGAAACATTAAAAAAATTTTTTTTTCAAGTCTAAGAGTTCAAAGAAATACAGTTTCAAAATCAATAAGCCATAAACGTGGATACGTTTTCGAGAGAAAAGACACAGGACACTATGAACAAAACATGAAGCTTCCTGTCACCGTTTCTGACATTTAGCACCAGGCCCCAGGGCCATCTGAGAATGTCCCAAGCCTCTCTCAGAGCATTACGGTAGAGCCAACGTACAGGTTCCCATGGTGGATTTGGTTAACACGTCACTTCCGGAATTGCTGACCCTGGGATGTGGTTCAAGCTGGCCTGGACTAAAGAATGGGCTCTGTTCTTGGGACTGAGATGCTAGAACGTCCCCTCTCACCTCCAACGATGTGGCACTGTTGGTAGGAATCTCTGTCTCGCACATCTAGCAGCAGGAAGGGGCAGTCGGGATAAGGTCGGTCTTTGGTGTTGGGCTCGGCTTTCTTCACTAGCCCTTTGTCTAGATCCAGTTCCCCAACACCACTGATGACGCTGCAAGCGAAAAGCAGGTCGTCAGAAACCACTCAGGGGTGAGTGGCTCCAAGGTCAAATGCGTTTCTTCAGAATAGCGAGAGTGCTCAATGTCTTTCAAAGGGCGCGTCAAAGCAAAAGGAAAATGGATATGGTGTCTCAGTTCTGTCTCTGAATGCACGACCCTATGGATTCCTATTCTATCACACTGGACCCCGAGGAAGGGACCCATGTGTCCGTATCACCTTCAGAGAATGCATGTTAGGTCATTAGCATGGCTGAGGGGACAGAGACTGTAGGGCACATGCTGCCTCCAGCAACAAGAGCAGCATTCAGAGAAAAGAAAGAGGCCAACAGTTGATCTGATGGAATGTGAGGAGTGTAAGAAAGCAGAGCGAAAGGGAAAGAATAAGGTTGATAGGACAGGAAACACGGAGGCCTTCTATGTCCATCATACGTAATACAAACCAACAGCAACGTTTTAATGTATTCCATCTACTTATAGGGTGACCTAGCTGATGCGTATTTTGAACCTTAATATCGTCAGTAGTTATCTGTACTTATTCCCAGGTTATAGGTCACAGCGTTGAGGTTGAAGAGGCTTCCAGATTTGGTGGCATTCGTATAATGAGACAGAGGAAAAATGAGGATCGAAGTGAGTGAGTTCACCATTGACAGTTCTGTTTCTAAGGTCGTAAGATTGGTCGCCGTATTCAGATTGGAGGCGAAATGTAGTAAAAACACGAATCAAAGGAATAAGAGGAGTAGGCGTTATGAATAAGACGGCAGGTAGTGAAATATCTGTATTGGATGAAAAGAGGACTCCTTTCCCAGGCAACTGTGAAGGCTTGTGTGCCGGACCACACGCCAGCACGCACTGATGTCTCCTCTCCCGGCACGGCAAATCAAATTCTGCGTCTAAACCTCGATGTCACTCGATGCCACAGAGCGCATATTTCGTTGAACCAAAGGAGAAGAAAATCTGTCTCATATGAAACCGCGTCCTCAACGGAAGTCCTGTTGGTCCATCTCGTAAATGCAATTTTCAAGTTCTTGCGTAAAAGTAGTCACAGAAAAATAACAGCGGTACCGATGATAGCAATTCTTTCTCTGGTAGACCTGGTTTCTCGACTACAGTTGTTTTCGCCATTGTAGAAGGGATGGTTATGCGCGGAAAATCAGCACCGTCTTATAATCAATGCCTAGTGTTTGTGAGAAAAGGGTTGCATCACAGCAAGAAGGACCCCTCACATGCGGTTTGCAAATCGACACCGAGGGCTGCTTCCCTGCTCCTTTGCACCTGTGTAATAGCAGAGTATGGTGTAGGGCACTCTATTTTTCTTCTGATCTCAGACAGGGTAATTATAAGCTGCAGCAGACAGAAAAGGGGGTGGGAGTGGGAATCAAAAGATAGGAGATGTAAAGCTGAGTCCTAATAGCAAACCTGCACACGGGAAGGCTGAGAAGAATGGAATTAAGGAGCGAAAATTAATGCTCTCCTATCAATATATTCTTACCTAAACGCATCGAGATGCTGTGAAAAGATTCAGGCGATGGCATTTATATCAAGAGAAAATAGAGGGGCTGGGATGAAAATGTGGGACTTGACTACTGCCAGTCTGCTTCTAAGGCGATTATATCACTGAAACTGGTACCCAGGTTAGTATGAAGTAAAATACAGTGAAAACATGAATCTGATTAGCATACCTCTGCAGAGTCGAGCGACTGGAATCCCCGGCTCCCGCGCTGTTTGTGGACTGGACAGGGCTTGGCGACTGCTCCCCGGGGCTCCCCTTCCCGTTGGTCCTGGCACTGACTTCCCCATCGGGCTCCGAAGTCGCAGAATCATTGTCTAAAATTTGCAAATGAACAGGTATATTGGACCTCAGAGTTGATTTCACTTGTCGGGCAGTCCCACTGAAATGAGGTCAAGGCAAGGAAATCCTATCACGGTGATTAAATTGTCCCCTAAGTTCTAACACGTAAGTTCTCAAAACGTAGTCGCGGATCCCAGGAGTCCCCAAGACCCTGTCAGGGGGACCTGCGAGGTCTCTTTTACCGGGTTGATATTTGCCCTCAGGGTGCCAAAGAAACAGTGGCTAAAACTGTGAGCGCCTTAGTAACACTCAGGGCAGAGGCACCAAGTTTGATTAGGAATTATCGTATTTTTTTCACCAACACGAACGCACTCAGTTAATAAATACAGCGGTCACATTTTAGCCAGTCCCTGATGGAGCTGCGATAATAATTCTATTAAGTCTCATCTTTTTTTTTTTTTTTTTAAACGTTTATTTACTTTTGAGACAGAGAGAGACAGAGGATGAACGGGGGAGGGTCAGAGAGAGAGAGGGAGACACAGAATCTGAAACAGGCTCCGGGCTCTGAGCTGTCAGTACAGAGCCCGACGCGGGGCTCGAACTCATGAGCCGTGAGATCATGACCTGAGCCGAAGTCGGACGCTTAACCGACTGAGCCACCCAGGCGCCCCTATTAAGTCTCATCTTTAAGTATACATCTTTTTAACATTCTGTGTAATGACATCGGGGGCCCACATACGGTAAGTCTGCTCCATACCAAGATAACCAAGATACCACTGGGGCCTCGAGGGAAAGTGTTAGTGTGATTATTGCTGCTTTTGCCCTGCACACCATTTTTACCCGGAAGAAAAACTGACAGGAAAATTATAGTTACTTAGACCCGTGCACGTGGCAGACATTCTCTCAAAAATGATCTAAGTGAACTTGTCGTTTCAAGGAAAAAAAACAACTGATGGGCTCTGTTGTAGCTACTAAATCCTACCCCAAAATCAGAGTTTTGGAAATTAGCTGCCCTCAGGAGCTTGGGTGCCTCCCCGTACTTAATGACTTTTCTTTTTTAAAAATTTTTTTTTTTTTTCAACGTTTATTTATTTTTGGGACAGAGAGAGACAGAGCATGAACGGGGGAGGGGCAGAGAGAGAGGGAGACACAGAATCGGAAACAGGCTCCAGGCTCCGAGCCATCAGCCCAGAGCCTGACGCGGGGCTCGAACTCCCGGACCGCGAGATCGTGACCTGGCTGAAGTCGGACGCTTAACCGACTGCGCCACCCAGGCACCCCAGCTTAATGACTTTTCTGATACAACAGGCGATGACGTTAATAAGTGTGATTTTTTTTTTAAATTTCTTTAACGTTTATTTATTTTTGAGACAGAGAGAGACAGAGCACGAATGGGGGAAGGACAGAGAGAGAGGGAGACACAGAATCGGAAGCAGGCTCCAGGCTCTGAGCCGTCAGCCCAGAGCCCGACACGGGGCTCGAACTCACGGACCGCGAGATCGTGACCTGAGCTGAAGTCGGAGGCTTAACTGACTGAGCCACCCAGGCGCCCCAATAAGTGTGATTTTTTAGATGTTGTGTAATGAACAAAATTTGTCAGTATTTGGAAGATCCTCCTAACTCGGCAAATCAATATTTTCCAAGTGGCCAAAGAGTGAGGTTATAAAATTATGCGTGGGTAAAAAGCTTCATTCAATGAGCTTAAGGTAATGGAATCCAAACCATTCACTGATCCAGTTTCAGATTCCACATTACAACTAACCTTTAAGAAGCTACCGGTTGTCAAGTTTCAGTACAGCCTCAAAGATGTGTATCCATAATTATCTGAAAGAGCTATTAAAAGATTCTCTCTTTTCAACTACAGGTCTGTGTGAGGCCAGATTTCCTTCGTATACGTCAATCCAAAGAGCATATTGCCACAGAGTGAACGCAGAAGATCTGAGAATCGGCTGTCCGCTCTTAAGTCAGACGCGGAGGTTTGCAAGAAGATGGGAAACAAGGCCATGCTCAATAAACTTTTTGTTTGTTTGTTTTGGCAACACAGCTATTTTGCATTAAAATGCCAGTTATGCGTGTCATGGGCTTAATATCACTATTTGTAAGTGAAATAGTGAATATATATTTTTAAGCTCTCAGTTAAAAATTATTTATTTATTTATTTATTTTTTTTTTTTTCAACGTTTATTTATTTTTGGGACAGAGAGAGACAGAGCATGAACGGGGGAGGGGCAGAGAGAGAGGGAGACACAGAATCGGAAACAGGCTCCAGGCTCTGAGCCATCAGCCCAGAGCCCGACGCGGGGCTCGAACTCACGGACCGCGAGATCGTGACCTGGCTGAAGTCGGACGCTTAACCGACTGCGCCACCCAGGCGCCCCTCAGTTAAAATTTTTTAATGCCTTAAATATCGAGAGAGGGGTGCCTGGGTGGCTCAGTCGGTTGAGTGTCCGACTTCGGCTCAGGTCATGATCTGATGGTGCGTGAGTTCGAGCCCCGCGTCGGGCTCTGTGCTGACAGCTCAGAGCCTGGAGCCTGCTTCGGATTCTGTGTCTCCCTCTCTCTCTGACCCTCCCCCGTTCATGCTCTGTGTCTCTCTGTCTCAAAAATAAATAAACATTAAAAAAATTAAAAAAAAAATATCGAGAGATATAATCACCCACACCAAAACTATTTGAGGGCCTCGATAATTCGGAAGCGTGCGGAGGGAGACTGTACCAAAACGTTCGAGAATTTGCTGTTTCCACTGGTATGATGAGCAAAGAAAGAAAGATAAGAGGCCTCGTCATTAAAGAGGACACTAAAATTTATTTTTCATATGATATAATCTACCTAGAAATTTCAGGAGAATCCTCTGAGAATAAGGAAAATAAGCATGCACGTAGATAAAGAAAAGAAACACTAACAGGCAAACAGTTTTTCCCACATGCCAATTAGAAAGGAACATGAAGAGCATCTCATTCCCAGTAACAACAGCAGATATAAGATATGTTCTCCTAGAAAACAGGACTCTTAAGAAATGCAAAGGGCCCGTGCAAACTTACATCCTTTATAGGTCTTAGACAAATTTTACTTGAGAGACATTACAGAAAACCTGAATGAAGAGAGTGATGTATCTTCACATTCCTGACTGGGTGACAAAAGTGAAACGATGTTAATCCTTCCCAAATTTCATTTTTAGTCCTAAAACAATCCCAGTGGGGTTTCTGAAAAGCTTAAAGGGATTGTACAAATGAGAAGGAAGAAAAAAAAAAATATACACACACACACACACACACACACACACACACACACACACACACATATGTACATACGGGTAATTTGGAGAACATGCCTTACCGAATAGTAACATATGTGGCAAAGGTAAATGATCAAAACAACGCTGGACCACAAACCAGAATGACGGGGATATAAGAGAGAACACAGAAACAAATCCCAGGATATACATAAAAGCTAACATATATTAAAGGTAACATCGCAAACGAGTGGGTAAAGGGAGAACACTTGCATAAATGGTGTTGGGATAACGTGTCACCTCTCTAGAAAAATCAAATTTAGATAACCCCCTCACATCATATGCCGCAATATGTAACAAGTGGATTGATGTAGGGAGAAAACCCAAACCACCAAGCAAGGTAATAGAAGAAAATGTAGGTGAATGATTTATCTTAGCTTGGATTTTACGAGTCTAAGGCAATAAAAGAAAGCACAACGCGAAAGGCTAATAGATTTAATCACATAAAGATGCAAACCTTGTGGATGTCAAAAATGAACACCAAGAAAATTAAAAGGTGAGTAACAAATTAGGAAAAACATCTATGACATATATGCATTAGAAAAGCTTAATATAGGGGCGCCTGGGTGGCGCAGTCGGTTAAGCGTCCGACTTCAGCTCAGGTCACGATCTCGCGGTCCGTGAGTTCGAGCCCCGCGTCGGGCTCTGGGCTGATGGCTCAGAGCCTGGAGCCTGTTTCCGATTCTGTATCTCCCTCTCTCTCTGCCCCTCCCCCGTTCATGCTCTGTCTCTCTCTGTCCCAAAAATAAATAAACATTGAAAAAAAAAAATTAAAAAAAAAAAAAAAAGAAAAGCTTAATATAGTGAATTTACAGAATTAAAAAAAAATTAACTAGTGCTTTAATTGGAAAAAGATCATGTGCAGCAGGTAAAAATGCAAACAAGATAAATTTGTTAATATGGAAAGGAAGTCCCTTCCCACTCCTGACCTCTAGGCCCTCAGGCCCCCTCTTCCAAGGGAAACACCTGCACGTATTTATGCCTCCCTCCAGAAATAAAACAACTACGTACTTTTGCACATATTTTATTTCCTCCCCTTTTTACATATCAGGAGAACACTATCCATACTGCTCTACACTTAGGTTCTTGGTTTGGTCGTTGTTTTATTTTTACTTAACGATGGAGATTTGGATTTGCAAACTTCACATTGTCAAGTGAAGCCTTTTCTCATTTTCTAGGCTGTACTTGTTTCCAATGTTTAACGAGACCCTAATGCACAGAGCTTTTCCAAATCGGTAAAAGATGAGCGTTCCGTGAGAAAAAAAGAATGGGGAAGGACAGGTAATGTTCTCAGAAGAAGAAATGTGTGTGGCCAATAATCGCACACATACACAAGGCTCGGTTTCATGCCCGGAGAGATTCAAAAGAAAATGATCAGATACTACTTTTGACCCATCAAGTTGGCAAGCACGTGCAAAAATGATAATTCTTCGGCACTGCCTGGGATGGGGAGGAACAGGTCTTCTCATTTATTTGCTGGGAATGCAAACGGGGAGAACCATTCGGGTTCATTCGGGAATGCAAACGGGGAGACAGTGCGGAATCAGCGCCTGAGCGTCTGAAAATGGTTCCGCCCTTTGACCATCTGCAGCAAAATTTATCTTCAGGAAATAATCAGAACCACACTCATGTTTACGTATTTACACAGCAGCATTATTTTAGAAAAGTGAAAAATCAGAAAAGCTGTCACGTCCGGTAGGAGAATAGTTAAATCAGTTATGGTATGTCCAAAGGACAGACATTATATGACGACACGACCTTTACGATCAAGCTTTTGAAGTCTATTCAATGACACAGGACAGCAGGCATGATGAAATGCTAATCTGGAACAGCATAATTCAAAAGTATGCACAAAGAATATGGATTCGGGTGCGCAGTTAGGGGGAAAAGTAGAGCAAAATGTTAACAGGGATTATTATTTTAATTTTCTTCCTTACGTGTTTTTTGCAATTTTCTAATTTTCTAGAAATATACTTTGAAGTCAGGAAAAAACAATAAACATCACAAAAGGAGGTTTTTTGCCTCCTTCAAAAATAGCCAGTATGCATACAATCTGTTCTGCAGGCATTCCTGAGGGAGTTATTATTCTGTGTAGAGCACTAGAAAAACACTAATATTACTCACACATTATGGTGTCCTACTTTACAAGAGCCTATTTTGCTGTGCAAATTTATCTCAGAAGAGAAAATTGCATGTGCCCATGTGTTCTGGTGCTGTAATCTCCATGAATTCAAGGACCAAATCCAGGTACTTATATAACCGGGTTAAAATTGGGAGTACTTGTATGAGGAGACTCAATTATCTCCGTTACAAAGAACCCTTATTTCTCTGCCGTGTGAGAGGCATCTGTCAAAGACAAATTCCTGTCTTTGTCAGATGCTCTTTATCCTCCCTAACAAAAACAAGCCCAGGGAAATGACAGTTAAGTTGCACAAAGCCAGTGTTCGAACCTCCTGAGAAACTGGTCTTGAAATCCGAAGTCAAATTCCTGGCCTGCATCAACCTTAACAAAACATATGCCCCTTCAATAAACAGCCACACGTTGATGGTTGAGGGCCTGAGGATAGAATAAAGACCTTAACTCTGCGTATTCTTTTCACGACAGTGCCACTGAGAGGTTTTGTTTTCGACTTGGCGTTTAAGAAAGGAAACCTGCAGCTGGAAAGCTATCTTCCCAGCCCGGTCTCCAACCTAGCACCTACGCCTTCCCAGGTCATCGCCAGGCTAGATGACGCGATTCTCCAAACCCGCTCTCCGTGCCTTTGCTCAGGTTGCAAGACTCTCGCCCGTCACTTGCACCTGTTCAGATCCTACCCTCTGTTATGGTCCAGCTCACAGGCTTTAAGAAAGCCTCCCTGAGGGGCGCCTGGGTGGCGCAGTCGGTTAAGCGTCCGACTTCAGCCAGGTCACGATCTCGCGGTCCGTGAGTTCGAGCCCCGCGTCGGGCTCTGGGCTGATGGCTCGGAGCCTGGAGCCTGTTTCCGATTCTGTGTCTCCCTCTCTCTCTGCCCCTCCCCCGTTCATGCTCTGTCTCTCTCTGTCCCAAAAATAAATAAAAAACATTGAAAAAAAAATTAAAAAAAAAAAAAAAGAAAGCCTCCCTGGGTTTTCTAACTGGAAAGTACCCTTCCTTCTTCAGAACTCCCAGAGCGAAGACCCTGGTTATGAGCGGAGACTCGCAGATTTGTATCCTACGCCCCTCCCTTACTGGCTGTACCCCCTTGAGCAAGTCGTTTAACCTCTGAGGCTTGGGCTTCTCATCTCTAAGCATTTGTTTCTTCCAGAGTCTCTGGTAAGGTGAAGTAAGAAAGCTGCGTGAAGCGCTTAGCAATGTATATTTAACGAATGATGACTTCTTTCTAATCCTTCATTATGAATTTCTGCCACGTTAGCAATTTTGCGCTTCTGTTCTCATTTTCCTCGCCCAACACGCACACATGCCTGCACGTGTGCACACGCGACCACCCACTCCATGTGAGCAGGGTTGTGTCGTCTCTGTAGTCTCCTAGCACCTAATTCTGTGACCTGTACGTAGGTAGAAGGCACTAAAAATATCCGTTGAGAAAAAGTAATTGGTATATTAAACACCCACAGAGCGTTTCAAACCACGAAAACACACCAACCAACCCACCACACAAAAAAACATTAACAACTACAAATGTTAGAGCTGGAAAACCAGATGGCTTTTTAAAAGACAGAAGAATGAACAATTAAAGCACCAGAGAGCATGTCTCGGACGGTAACAATCTAATTACAAATAGATATATCGAAGTCCCAATTCCCTGTGGACACAAGAGCAAAGGTGGACAGGGCGAGAACTTCGGTCACACGGTCAATCGGTTATTTCCCCCACGTCCTCAATTCTCATTACCTTCTAGCCTTTGAATCTCTTCAGCTGTCACTTCCAGTGTTTGATCAGATAGGGAAGCAACCTGGATGACCTGATAGAAAAAAAGAATGAAATATGTAGATGTGTTTATGTCTGTTAGTCTTTAAACAGAGGCAATTCTGTCTCTAACAAAAGGCGAGGAAACATCAAAGATCTCTTGTTTCAAGAAACTGTCAGGGTCCTCCACTGGAGACTAAATCTCAGGCCTCCTTACTTTTGAGGAGCGGGAATTACACCGCAGGTGATCATTCCAGAAACACAGATTCGTTTAAAACATCACACAATAAACTTAAAAGTCCAAAAGGATAATTTAGGACAAGAAACATGCATAAATGGTCATGCACATTCCAGTCCCAACATAACACACAATACTTAACCGTGACAGAATTGAATCAGCAATTCGACATTCAATGAAGAAATCAATGTCTTATGAATATATATATATATATATATATATATATATATATATATA